TGTGCATGTGTATGTGTCTCTTTAAATCATTAAACTGTAAACTTTAAGAGAGAGACATGAGAATACATCCATCTTACCTCACTAGAACTTGTGACCTGAGGCTGGGCGCAGTGGCTCAGACCTGTAACCCCAGCACTTTGGAAGGCTGAGACTGGAGGATTGATTGAGGCCAGGAGTTCAAGAACAGCCTGAGCAACATAGTAAGATCCCATCTCTACAAAACAAATTAAAAATAAGCCAAGTGTGGTGGTATTCACCTGTAGTCTTAGCTACCCAAGAAGCTGAGGAGGGCGAATCGCTTCAGCCCAGGAGGCCGAGGCTGCAGTGAGCCGTGAGAGCAACACTGCACTGCAGCCTGGGCGACAGAGAAAGATCTTGTCTCCTAAAAAATAATTTTTTACATCTGACTTATCAGAAGATGATCCAGCTAACCCATCAGTACTTACGAAAAAGTTCTATAGAAATATCCATTACCAGGGACCTCTATTGTGACCCTCAGCCCAGTCCGTAGCTGATCACTGTCTACTGACTCTAAGACAGAGTCCACAACCACCATAATTGTACACAACTCCTAACATATTTGTTCACAAGGTTATTCAAAATGTGATGTGTTTATGAAAAAACAGCCATGGCCAACCATCATACTTGTCCTGTGAAATACTTAGCTGAGGAGCTCAGGCCTAAGGTCTATCAACAAGGAAACATTGTCATCTTGGATGGAATATCTGAGAAGCTAAGAGGCCCATCCTTATTTTGTCATAGCAAAGAGTTGCCCTCTAAAATAGGAGAACAGATTACATTTTAGGGTCAACCTTCTGCGGTCATACCCATAGAACACAAAATGTAAACAAACTGGCAGTGTGGCCAGGCTGCCAATCACAGAGGTCCCTCAATGTTCTGAAAGGGATTGATTTCAGTCTTTCTGTAGTGCTTCATCAAGCTTCAGTTTGTTATTTCGGTTGCTGTTTCTTTAAGTGTGTAATACCTTTCCAGGGCAGGGGTGGTTTAACTCAACAGTATGTTCCGGGATCTAGTCACAAAAATGAAATCTACAAATATATCAGCCTTTGACCCTGGAATGGATACAAAAGGGTCAGGGAGCCTCCTGGAGTCCATTAGGATCTGATTGTCCCCAGCCCCCAATCCACTTCATACATCAGTAAACACGTCCCAAACAGACAAGCCAGTGCCCACTCAGGGTCTCCCGACCCAATAGATTCTAAGTGCTTTCCAAAATACTTCTCATGTTTTTAAAATGAGGCATAAATTGAATAAAAATCTCAATGCGCCTTTTCCAGTTTTAACCTCATGTGTGTTGCTTTAACTTGAAAAGAATTTCTTCCCTCCTATGTGAGTCTTTGAAACTAGAAACAAAGGGGGTGATTCCCAAGTTTTCCAGGAAAAAATGTGATTAGAGAAGGGGTTGTATGTATTACCTTCAGAATATGAGAATGTACACACACACATGTTACACATATGCATACAAAATACACACTAACACACCCATGATTATTGTAAACAATTATACACTATGTTTTCATATTTTATATATGCATGTAGCTGTATATGAACATTTGAGCTTTTTAAAAATGTCAGAGCACAGCTTTTTGGTCTTCTTTTTGGCATTGGAAAGGGGCATTGGGCTCAGCCTGAGGGTAAGGCTGGCCCTCCCCAGGGTGGGATGCAAACCTCTTCCTTGAAAACTGCACATGACCAGAGTCCGAAACCTGCAGCCACTCAGTCTTCACACAGGTGGAATTGTTCTTCCCTCTCCCAGTGATGTCTGCAAAATGAGCGCCAGGCCCCTGAGCACCACTGTGCCTGCCACCCCCATGGGCCCTTCCTCATCCCCACAGGGCCCTCAGGACACTCCTAAGTCAAAAGAGGACCCCTGGCACCTCGAAAGGAAGTGGGGAAGTGGAGTTCAGGACATAGCCACCGTCTGCATCCGATGATATAGGGTGGCATGCAGGCCGTGGTTACAAAGCACATGAGACAAGCCAGCATACCAGGGTCTTCACTTTTAGTCCTAAAGCCAATCATCCTCTAAAAGGAGACCTTCATTCCCTGAGAGACTGCTTGTCCTTGTTTAGACTTGGTATTAACTGAGGCCTGACTGCTGGGAAGCCACGTGTTCTCACGCCAGACTAGTTCGTGTTCAGCATGGCCTCCCTCCTCCAGCCATGGACTGAATCAGCTAATTATTTCCCATCATAAGCTACCCATTGTGGGTAGGCCAGGGGTCCAGCAGCACCTGATGTCCACCCTGGCTTGACTAGAGGAGAAAACGGGAGGACCTCCCAAACCCTTAGGGCATATCCAGGAAACCTCTTCTCGTAGCAGGGGACATAAAGGGAGAAACATCCACAACAGCTCTTGATCCCTTCAGGACCCCTCAGCACCCCATGGAAAAAAAGTTGCTGCAACATTTATAAAGTCTCTTCCCTTCCCAGGAACTGCCTTTGGGTACTAATAATTTATGCATCATTCTCTTTGCAAACACATGCTTAAATAAACACACCAAAAGTGGGAATTAGAGCAAGAGAGACAGCCCCAAGCCCCCTAACCTCCCACCCCCACACCCCCACCCAACCCGCCTGTCTGGAATTCTGGCTTCTTGTATTATTTGTTATTCTTACTAAAAAATTACTCATGAGGAAGAGTGAATACCAAGACTCTCCCCTTGGGATGGTTTTAGTACTTTTTTAATTTGGCAGATAAAGCAGTTAGCAATTCAAGAGAGGGCTGAGCAGTTTCGATTCCCTCACCCACTTTATTGATTCATAACAGCATTCACATTTTCACAGTTCATGGTATTCTGAAATCATTTGTAAGCCCTTAGTTGTTATCGTCCCTCAAGGGTCACCTTGCTTTGGAAGCCAACAAACACCATTGTAGACAGGAAGTGAATAATGTAAAGGGATAGAGTGAGTCAGAAACAGAATCAGGAACAGGAATTTTGTCAGTTTTAAAATTCTGGAGCCATCTTCTATGTAGACTTGGAAGGATAGTCAGAGTGGTAACTGGGTGGGGAGGTGACATGCATGTGACTCTTTATAGTCAGGATGACAAACTTCTGGCAAAATTATGAATTTTGCCTCACTGTGAATCATGCATTCATTTATTCAGCAACCATGGGCTGGGCACCTACTCTGCACCAAGTATTGCGTTAAATACTAAAAATGCAAAAGTGCATAGTCTAATAAAAGAAAGAGACATGAAGTCACAATGACTTTGAAGTAAGCTCAGTACCTGCTATAAGGGAGGAAAGAAGCTCCCGATCTATCCTCTTTGATTGAGTGGCTGGGACTCACACATCAAACTGATAAAAGATTAACATGAGGAAAAAACAGAATTTATCTATATATGCAATAGATGTACTAATTGGAGAACAGCGATGAGTAACTCAATGGAATGTTAGAATGTGGAGTTTATATACCATCTTAACAAAAGGCAATAAATTTGTGGAGAAATGACAAAGCAAGCAAAAAGGGATTGGGACTTCTAGGGGTGGTAAATTGTGGAACGGTAAATATATGGGAAAAATTAATGAATGATAAGAGTTATTTCATTAACATTTGTTTGTGCAGACCCAACCTGGTGCCCTTTTTGTCTCTAGTGATAATTGTTATTTTTCAACTCTGGATATGGGAAAAGGAAAGGGGAACAACACCAGCAAGGGAAATTTATATTCTGCCTTCAGATAGAAAAAGGGAGGATAGAAAGCTTTTCCTCCATTTGCTGCTTCTCAATCACCTTCAGCTCAAAATAATTCTTGAGCCAAAGTGGCATCTTCAAGACTGGCATATTCTGATCTCCTGCACTGCAGTCTGCTCATAGTATTATGGGAACAGCCTTGGGAAGATTCAGTTCTTCCTGGGGGAGGCAGAGAGTGGTCACTGAATATTCTCCAAGGATGGGACAGTTGAGCCAGTCATGGGCAGTAAGTTTTTTAAGTAGAAAAATGAGGGAAATACATGCCAGGCAATGAGAACAACCCAAGCAAAGGCAGAGCAGCGTGTGAGAGCTCGGGCCACTGGGCTATGTTGTGCGGGGAGGGCCACTAAACATCGGGAACCAGGGTAGGCTCTTGGGACACAGGACCGTCTCCTGGCAATGGGTGGTAGACAAGGAGTAAGAATGAATGAAGACAGGCAATAAGAAGCCAGAGAGAAAAAAGTAATATTGCAGAGGTCTGGGAAAAGATCAAGAAACAAGAAAGGAACAGCAACTAGTTTTCTCAAGGAGTATGATTAGGGAAGGAATAGAAAGAGATTCTGCTGACTCTTTCTCCTACACGCACAGCTGGCCTCAATCCTGATTCTTTAACGAAGAAGCAAAAAAGGAAATACAATAGCATCTTCTATCACCTCTTATTATTGAAGTAGAATTTAACTTTTAAAAATACGATTCATGGGGTAAATTACTAGTTTCCATTTTTCCAAGAAAAAGCCTGTTTTAGAGGTTGACCTTGATTTCTACCTAAATAAATTTCAGAAGGAGCAAATATCTAGATATAAAAATGTACATTTTAATTAAAATACTAAAATAAAGCACAGGTAACTGATTTATAATTTTAGCACACAACTTTTTAGATGGTCACTTGACCCTATGTATTAGTATTTTAAAGTTTGAATCAACAATTCCATTCATGGGGTTTTTTTTCCCCCCCAAGGCCATAATGGGTCAAGGTGACAGAGAAAGATATACAAGGATGGTCATTAAACATTTTTGTAATGGTGAAAAATTGGAAACAACTTAAACGTTGATTAAATAAATTATAGCATATCCATACAATGAAGCCCAAACAGCCAATTAGAATAATGATATATTACCACACTGATACTCTGTTGCCTGAGCACTGTTGGTAGGAAAGGTTGCTTCTGTTATAGCCCTGACAGTAGTTTATGTCTGTGCCGGTTGATCCATCCTCACCAACACCAGGGGGTGTCGTTCACATGCTTGTTATCTAGAGCTGTCCTTTCTGCCCATCAACAGACAGGTCTGCCCATGGGCACAGGCCATTGGTCTCAACTACGTATGGTTTGCCCTGTAATGCCTTCCGAAAGGCCAGCTGAAAAGATTGATAGTCGAGAGCAGAGGACCTGAGGCACCTGATCCACAGACCAGACACTCAGGAGGCTTCTTTGTCCTTCTGAAGTACAGGCCAAGTTTTGGTGTTCATCAAATGAGTGACAGGCTATCACATCTACTGCAAAAATATATGGCACTTCCCTCTCCACCTCCACAGTGGGCGGTGAAAATTAATTGAGTTCAGGCTGTGAAAAACTTAAGCTGCTATATGAAATGCAAAATCATTAAGCATCAGAGGTTGTAATATTCTGCTTGTGGCCTTGGGACTGAAACACCAGATGTTGTGCCCAATAATGACTTCACTTCTCATCCAGCTTCAATAACTCAAGATTGAGTGCATTTGGGGTTTTGACCTTGCACTGCTATACCGAGATTCAGCAGAGGCTAACTACCCCCAAGACTCCTTCCAGAGAACTGGGACCTCAGGATCATCTTCAACATCTTCACAGAGAGTATGGAGACAAAGCCCTTGCCACAGAGACCCACCATGCCACAACACCAGGTGGAGACGCACCATTGCTTGAGTTGGTGAGTGAAGAGGGCCGTTGTTTGTGTTATTTGAGGGCTGTCGAGGGAAGAGAATTAGGTAAGCTCATTTAGAACTTACTAGAACACTTCTCAAAAAGATGTCTCAGCGTGGGGCACAGTTAAGACATATACTTAAGAGTAATCATCTCCAAATGAGTGATTTTTGTTTTCTTGTTTATTTCCTTATTTACTTGAGTTGTCCTGTCTCAAGGAATAAAGAAGGCATTTATGTAATAAAAGTGGTGTGAGTCACCCTTTCAAACCTTTAAGATTGGTTTTCAAACTGTTAAAAATTCTTGTAGGTCCACCATGAAAGTTGCCATAGAAGCCTGAAGTTACCACAGCTTATAAGGAAGTGGTTATTGATTATGATGGATGAAGAAAGTGTAAGCTGCCTGTGTTTCATTCAGACTCAGACTAGCTCTGGTTAGAGAAGTCAACTCAAAGGAGGAAAAGAGGAAGTTCTGCAAAAATAAATTCAAGGGTCAACTAGCAGTGGATAAAAACACAACTATGATCTCTGTGACTCTTTCTTCTTTTATCTGACATTTTTTCACTTCTGCATGATAAAGAAAATAGAGACATGGTATGCTGGAAAGAAAACTAAAGCTGTTTCTTTAATTAAGTCCACTAACCTCGGAAGGAAGTCTGAAGTGTTCTTGTGGCATCGACAGACGAATGATAGTAACTGCTAAGACAGAAACTACTTGGAAAAACTGTTGATTTTAGATTCAGAGAAAATGAATAAGGAAAAGTTAAAGATTGATGAGAAAGGGAAAAAATGTGCCATGAGAATTTTTTCTAAAATTCATGTTTTAAAAAAATGAGTTTATAATGGATTTTAGGTGAAATTCCTTTAATAAAGAGTTACATGTTTCCTGACTATGTATAAGAAATTCATGATTGTGACTCTGAGAGACTTGAATAAAAGGACCCGCATGTCTTTTGCCCTGTGATGGCCTGCCTAAATTGCAGGGCTATAAAAAGGAAAACCACCTTTAAAAGTTTCAACCCTAAGTTGACTTTATCTTACAGAAGAATTTCATGTGCATGCTAAAACACATACATATAGCATAGAATGTATATATAATTTCCTGATAAAATCTTCTGTTTTAGTGTACTTACATCTGGGTACATAACCTCCCCATATCTCTTTGGTATTCTTATTTGTTCTGCTTTTCCATTTTACATATTTTTCCCTAAGTGCCAAACATTAATAAAATTGCTAGCATTGATTATTTTTCCTTCACTAATACATCCCTTTGAGCCTGTTTCCCCAGCAACAAATAACTGGGGACAACCTACCCTTTGCTGACACATGAGAATCCTATAATTGCAGACAAGAACAAAGATTCTAAAGGAAGTCTTCATCTTCAATTCTTAGATTATTCTCCCCGCATCTTCTAGCCCTCCCCTCATGCCCTTTCATCTGACCCCAGTTCTGTTGTGACAGATTGTTATAATAATGACAGTGAATCATGGCTTTCTGGGTCTATGTCCCTTTGGTTCTTCCATTAAAAGATGGAGTCTCTTTCTGCACCTCTTGAATCTGGAAGGTCCTTGAAACCCACTTGGACCAATAGAATGTAGCAGAAGTAGCATCGTGCAAGTTCTGGAGGTTAGGTCTTAGGATCCTGAGACCACCATGCTGTGAAGAAGTCCATTCTGGTCTGTTGGAAGATAACAGACTGTGTAAAAAAGAACAGAGATACCCCATCCCACAGTCAGCACCATCTGCTGACAGTAAGTGATACCATCTTAGACCCTCAGCCCCAAACTCCCAGGTGACGACAGCCAAGTAAGTGAGTCCAGGCAAGACAAGTAACAGAACCAGCCAGATTTCCAGCCCTCAGGATCATTAGAGATAATAAATCATTGTGCTTTTTAAGCCACTCAGTTTTAGGGTGGCTTGTTATACAGCGATTGATAACTGATACATCCTCCAAGAAACTATGTCTTGCAGAAAGAATTCTACAAAAGGATCAGAAATAAACCATAATTTAACCTCCTTCCTTTGATCTACTCCCACCCCGGGTGCACATTCTCCTGCAGCCTACATTCTGGAAACATGCCATTAAACATTCATTCTTTGGAGGAGCCTTTGTTCTGGCCTGTCTCTTAAATTATTGAAGAATTCCTCTTATGTTCATTTTTCTGCCTGTTAACAAATGTTTGAGGGAGGGAAGAAGGAAGATGGCTTAAGCTGAACTCCCAGAAGGCAGAGGCAAGATACTCAAACATTATTTCGTGTATTCCCAGGATAAAGCCCCAAACAGTAGGCACTGAATCAACTTTACTTGAAGATAGCAATAAGAGGGAAGGCCACCATCAAAGACATTGCATCACAATCTTATTCAGGACATGCAAAGCATCATGTACTTGGTCTTAAAAACCAAAATCTTTTAAAGATCGGAACAGCCAGAGGCAGAAACAAGATTGGGTTGTAATATTTTAAGGCTACCGCAAGATGTACATCAAATAAATTCTGCTACATTTTCAGCAAACTCTCTTCTCAAATATGAAGCACATTAGTAATTTGCCATGAGGGGGAAAGCACATCATAACAGCATCTTGTTGTAAGAGGAAAGTACACTTATGGGGAAAGTGCCAGATGTTTCCTTCAGTGAGGAACTATGTACAGGATTCAGAAAATACCCAGGGTTTGAAAGTTGTGCTGTAGAAGCACCAGTTAGAACTAAAAATCTCCTGGGTTCCTTTAATAATACCACAAAACAAACTGAACAAAAATTTTGGAAGGATTCTTCTGAGCAAATCCATGTTTCATAGAACAAAAGTCAAACATGCACAGCTTCCACCTAAATTCACCAGATAGTGCTGCACACATGGTGAAAAATTCAAAAGTAACAGACAAGTGATTTTTGTTAACCTTATGGCCTTGGTTCATTTTTTTTGTTTTGTTTTCTTGGGGGTTTGTTTGTTTGTTTGTTGAGACAGAGTTTTGCTCTTGTCTCCCAGGCTGGAGTACAGTGGTGTGATCTTGGCTCATTGCGACCTCCACCTCCCCAGTTCAAGTGGTTCTCCTGCCTGAGCCTCCCAAGTAGCTGGGATTACAGGCACCTGCCACCATGCCCGGCTAATTTTTTGTATTTTTAGTAGAGACGGGGTTCCACCATGTTGGGCAGGCTGGTCATAAACTCCTGAACTTGGGCCTCCCAAAGTGCTGGGATTACAGGCAGGAGCCACAGCACCCAGCCCTATGGCTTTGGTTCCTTATCAGTCTACTAGACTTTGAATGCTATACCAAACAAGGAGGTCACACAAACATCTAGAAGCAGTATTCAAATCTAGACCACTATTGAAATTGGCTTAGTCCAGTTGAAATCAACTCCAAGTTTAAACGGCTTGAGTCAGGAAATTATTTTGGGTAGCATTTCCCAGCAAGGTGGTCTAATGAGTGAGATTTGTTCTTATTATGTTGTTGCTGCTGCTGTTACTGGTTTATATTTTTTGTTTGGTTTGGTTTGGTTTGGTTTGGTTGGTTTGGTTTGGTTTGGCTTGGTTTGGCTTGGTTTGGTTTGGTTTGGGAGTTTCTTTCAGTTGGTCTTAATGCTCAGAATTTTTTCTGTGTCACTGCCAGATATTAAGTGATAGTTGGCTCCCCGACAGCCTGCATTCTGAAAAATAATAAAACTTAGGCCACCAGAGGTATAAAATAAATAAAAACCACCAAACCAAGTTTATTAACTTTCCAGGCAAGGAAGCACACACTAGCAAAGAAATACACTGAATAGTTAGCAGAGAGGGAGAAAGTTAGGGATTTTTCAGTCTAGAAAGTGACGGCTCACAGATTAAGGTTTGAACACCAGCACTGCAGGTGGCCCCAGTGAATCCATAGGCCTGAACCCAATTAACTCAAACAAATCCAGTCATTCACTGGTCAAGCAAGAGTCTTTGGTTGGGCACATAGGGGTTTGGTGTTTGGGTCCATTTCAGTTGCTTAGAATTGGTTAGGCAGAGACACAACGTTGATTTTGATACCTCCTAGGGCAAATGTGGCTGAAAGTGGACATTTTTGCTTTGACAACTCCATCTGCTCCTCCTCTATGAAAGCTCCATCTAGGGCCGGGTACAGTGGCTCATGTCTGTAATCAACACTTTGGGAGGCCAAGGCAGGTGGATCCCCTGAGGTCAGGAGTTTGAGACCAGCCTGGCCAACATTGTGAAACCCTGTCTCTACTAAAAATACAAAAATTGCCAGGCATGGTGGCGCGTGCCTGTAATCCCAGCTACTTAGGAGGCTGAGGCACGAGAATTGCTTGAACCCAGGAGGCGGAGGTTGCAGTGAGCCAAGATCATGCCATTGCACTCCAGCCTGGACAACAAGAGTGAAACTTTGTCTCAAAAAAAAAAAAAAAAAAAATCTCCATCTATGACAAGGGGTGCATTTGGTGATTTGTCTCCCTTTATAGTCTTAAGCTCAGTGTTCGAGAATTTTGCAGTCATCTTTGGTAAATGTAAAACGTGTCTACGAATGAATGCAGTTCACATGTTCAAGGGGTCTCCACTGCCCTGCCCTGGTTCTACTCTAAAATTAGCCCTTCTTCCAAACTCTACTTTTATCCAACATGCCAGGATCCTAGCTTTGGACTTCTCTTTGAACAGCAAATAGTAGCTGGTAAAAAATACTTTTGTATGACTACATTAGACAATTGTGATCCCCTCCGAGCAATTGTGTTCCCCAGAATTCTTGGTAGATTTTAGGAATATTGATGTGGAAATGTCAAAGAATGCTTTCACAACATAGCAGATGATGGAGAAGGGGCGGGGGATGATAAAGAAGAGAGAATAGAAGGTAGGAGGAAGGGGAAGAAAAAGAGCTTAATGAATATCATTGTGGTGAAGTGCAAAGAGAGATGAAAGAAAAATGGTGTGGGAGAAAAATGACAGCATGGAATAAACCTAACTGAGCCAGGGCCTTATGTGACCAGAAGGCCAGAGAGAAACAACAGCAGCTGGAGAAGGCTGCAAAGCTAAGCAAGTTCATTTTGCACAGTCCGGGCAGGAAAATGCTGTTGGCTAGAACAGAAAATAACATGATTTTTCCCCCTGCTGATGCTTCTCTGGGATCCTGCCAAGGCTCTATTCTGCAGAACCAAAAACTAAATAGACTAATTTATTCAGATGTGTTCCCTTCGTTCTCTCCCTAGAATGGTATTCAACCTGCCCAGGATACCAGAAATTTCTGTGAATTTGGATGACAAGGCATTAGCCAGCATGTTTCTCTCCATCCCACAACACCTGCTGCTGAAGAGGAAGCATTTGCCCCTTGCATGCAAATCGTTTTTTGTAAATGAAGCCTCTAATGAGCACTCTCATGGAAGTACCCTAGAGCAGGTAACACTTACATGAAGCACAAAGTCAAAAATGAAAAAGAAACTCATTATCTGCAAGCCCAGAGCTAAGTATTTGCTATAAAACCACTATTCTCAATCTTTTCCTTGAACATAATTAATAGTTCTCCAAAATCCTCTGTGAATATTTGCCCAGCTATGGCACCCAGAGCCCTTGCTGTAGTAGGTTCAGAATCAATGTTAGAACTGTAAAAACCTTAGCGATCATGCAGGTACATGCCTTCTTCTCTCAGAAGAGGACGTTGCAGCCAAGAGAGTTGTGCGAATTACTCAGGGTTACTCTACTAAATAGGAAAAGGTCTCCTAATTCTCAGTACCATGTTCATTTCACTGCCCTATGACACACATCCTAACTTATCACCCACACTCTCTCCTCCACCTTCATCATGTCCCTTGCCACTGAAGAATTCCTTTTTCTGCCACAACAGAAAATCTAACAGACAGTGGTTAAAACCATAAAGATAATTCCTGTTTCCCACATGAGAGGCTGGATGTAGGGGGCCCCAGGGTTTGTCTGCTGCTCAGCGATGTGATCAAGAACCCAGGCTTTTCTCATCCTTCTGTCTGGGCACCCGCAGTGTGCAAATCCTTCATCCTTGAACCTGTGACTTCATGGTGACCGGATGGCTTCCGCAGTTCCAGGCATTATGTAGTCATGCCAATGCCCAAGCAGAAAAGAAAGGGACAGACAGAAAAGGACTTTGCTATTGGACCAGGGAGGAAAATCTTTTCCAGAAATAAGATTTCCTTTTATGTCTCCTTGGCCAAAACCAGATCCTGTGGTCATCCCTAGCTGCAAGAAAGCCCGAGAGAGAAATTATCCGGCAAATGGTAACGTTGCCATCATTAAAAAAACAGGATTATGTCACAAGGAAGAAAGGTGTGTGGCTGTTAGGCAAGTATATCAGTTAACTATACAAAAAAAAATTCTGGAAAATCTTTTCCAGAAATAAGATTTCCTTTTATGTCTGCTTGGCCAAAACTAGATCCTGTGGTCATCCCTAGCTGGAAAAAAAAAAAAAAAAAAAAAAAAAAAAAAAGCCCTAAAAGAGAAATTATGTGGCAAATGGTAACACTGCCATCATTAAAAGAACAGGACTATGTAACAAGGATGAAAGGTGTATGGCTGTTAGGCAAGTATATCAGTTAACTACACAAAAAAGACACCAGAAAAAATTATCTCTAAATATGCTGGGTTAACTCAGGAATAGAAATAAGATTATAATCTGGAATGCATGAAATGGCAAGTCACCAATGCATTCAGTGAGGGAAGGGTAAGGGGACTTTTATTAGCAAAAAACAGATTTACCCAAGCTGCTTGGAAACAGAGTTCATCGGTTCCAGAGGTTTGAAGCCAGAGTTCTTGTCAGTTCGTTGGTGGAGATGTCATTACCAGGCAACTGTTCTTTCAAGAACATGTTATGTGAATTAGCGCAGTTCTAAAGAAGGTCTGATGATGAACCTTATCAAAGCAGGAGATGCATGAAGGACTCCAGAGGTTTTTAGAAAGTCCCTGGAAGTAGTTCTTACCCCAGACACATAAGCATGAGCCTCCTCTCCGTCTGGCCTTCCCAGCTCTATTTTGCCTGAGTCTGACAAAAGTGATTTCATCCTACTATCTGCAACTCTCACACTATCAACATGCAACAAACCTCCAAAATTCAGTGGTTTAAAACAGCACCCATTTATTGTTTCTCTGGGACATAGAGGTCAGCTGATCCCACTGAGCTCATCAGATGGTTCTGCTGCTCTCAGTTGAGTTTGTTCAGAAACTATAGATCACCAGGACGTCCACACGGAGCTAGGCTCTGCTCCACGAGTCCCTCCTCCTTCTGGACCAGCAGGCTACTGAGGAATGCTCTTCTCATAGCAAAGGCCCAGACACAGGAATGCAAGCAGGATCACGCAGGGCCTCCTACCGTCTAGACTGATGACCAGGACACTGTCACCTGCTGTCTCATTCTATCAGCCAAAGCTAGTCATATGGCCAAACCTGAAGTCAGGGCTGGAGAAACCTACTAGTGGAAGGAGCTGCAAAGTCACCTGGCACAGAGTGTGGGTCCAAGGAAAAGTGAGGATGTGGTCCCGCATAGTGGCTCATGCCTGTATTCCCAACACTTTGGGAGCCCAAGGCAGAAGGATTGCTTGAGCCCAGAAGTTTGAGACTAGCCTGAGCTACACGGTGAAACCCTGTCTCTACAAAAAATAGGAAAAGTATCTGGATGTGGTGGTGTGCTCTCCTAGTCCAGGCTACTCAGGAGGCTGAAGTGGGAGGATCACCTGAGCCCAGGAAGTGGAGGCTGCAGTGAGCTATGATCATCTCTACACTCTAGCTTGGGTGACACAGTGAGACTCTGTCTCTCAAAGAAAACAAAAAGAAAAGTAACGATGTGGGGCCAATGATGCAATCTGGCTCACTAAGCAATCAATGCCATGTGCTCCACTTTTTTGCATTCACTCCCAATCTCCCTCCCCAAACGCACTCACTGTGCTTTCCTTTTGCTTCCTTCTCTACTCTCCTCCACCACCTCTATCACCTTTTTTTCTTTTCTTTTTTTTTTTTAATTATACTTTAAGTTCTAGGGTACATGTGTACAACGTACAGGTTTGTTACATATGTATACATGTGCCATGTTGGTTTGCTACATCCATTAACTCATTATTTACATTAGGTATTTCTCCTAAAGGTATCCCTTCCATAATCCCCCAACCCATGACAGGCAAAGGTGTGTGATGTTCCCCACCCTGTGTCCAAGTGTTCTCATTGTTCAATTCCCACCTATGAGTGAGAACATGCGGTATTTGGTTTTCTGTTCTTGTGACAGTTCGCTTAGAATGATGGTTTCCAGCTTCATCCATGTCTCTACAAAGGACATGAACTCATCCTTTTTTATGGCTGCATAGTATTCCATGGGGTATATGTGCCACATTTTCTTAATCCAGTCTATCATTGATGGACATCTGGGTTGGTTCCAAGTCTTTGCTATTGTGAATAGTGCTGCAATAAACATACGTGTGCATGTGTCTTTATAGCAGCATGATTTATAATCCTTTGGGTATATCCCCAGTAATGGGATGGCTGGGTCAAATGGTATTTCTAGTTCTAGATCCTTGAGGAATTGCCACACTGTCTTCCACAATGGTTGAACTAGTTTACAGTCCCACCAACAGTGTAAAAGTGTTCCTATTTCTCCACATCCTCTCCAGAACCTGTTTCCTGACTTTTTAATGATCACCATTCCAACTGGTATCACCATTTTTTTTCTTATATCTCTGTACACAGTGGGGTGGCCATGGAAGTCCTTGGTGGAGAGTGAGTGGATGTGGGATGTAGGGTGCTGTCAGCACTAAGTGGGGTGCTCCATGGCCCCTGCAGCCAGGAGCAGTATTCTCACCCAGCAGGGGAGCTCTGCCTCCCCACATGTGTAGGGACAGTAGGAGGAGTGTGACCTCAATGCCCGGCTCTTCCCAGACTCAGGCTTGAGCCAATCCTGCTGGTGTTTCCACCATGGAGCCTGCCAGAGGCCTCAGGAATCTTACATGACTGCGCCTGACTGCAAATGGCCACGGAGGCTTTTCAGACACAGTCTCGGTTTATCTGAAGGCACTTTGGCAGTGCTGCCGTCCCAGAGCCCCGACACATGACCCAAGCCTTGGATTAAATCCGCGCTTCATTCCTTTCTCAGTGTGCATTTCAAGTGAGAAGAGCGCTCATGAAGAAGTCGTCTTTCGCCTGCTTTACTCTCTGAAGACAAATT